CCACCCGATTTTGCCAGTAAGGGATGATATTCGTCCTTATTAAACCTGAGCCTCCAGGCTGTCTTAAGAGCTAAGGCAATGCCTCCGATCGCTGGGGGGAGGTGGTGTAGGGTGTCATCAACAGAGGAGAGCAGAGCAATTCTGACTTCATCACCTCCCACTTTCGCTCCTAGACCACCTTGCATCTAGCATTTGCGGTCCTCTGCTAAACTTTTTGTGAAAGGTCATTGCCCGGAGAGAAATGGTGAAGTGCAGTGAATGAAGAGGAAAGGGCTTCCTGGGAGCAGCTGAGAGCACGCGGAGGTGATATCTGAGGAAGTGCCTGGGAAGAACATTCATTTCAACGGGGTCACTAGGAACAGGAAAGGAAGATGGATGGAGTTACCAAGGAAATGACAAGTTGGTGTGTGCCATCGTGTGACTCATTCGGTACCCATAGCTCACCCCTGGGCTGCGAGGTTGTGGATTAAACTCCTACCCTGGGCCTTGGGATCATTGCTCTTAAAATGAGGAAGATGCATGCACCTTAAAATATATCATAGCCTGTCAGCTAGAATTGGAGTAGAGGGATGCCTGTGGTGTTGACAGCCATGAGGACAGGGTCCAAGAAGGGTGGGTTGACCGTGTCAGAACTTGTACTTCTAAGGACATGAATGATCAGAAAGGCCTGGCTTTCTGGTGTAGATGCTGGAAGCCCTGGTGCAAGCATCATGATAAGTCAACTGCTGGGGCAGGATAATCAAAGGCTTAACTGAGGTGCATTGCACTAACAATGGCTTCTGTTCAGTAGCTGGATGTCCATCTCCAGGAGCAACACAGATCCCATAAGGGCACCAGGGCAGTGCCAGCCCCACCATCCTCCATCCCCTACCTCCTGCTCTCCGTAGGCACTACCGTTTCTTGACCTCTGACGCAGTTCTCTTGATGGCTGGGCCGACCACCATAGCACCGAGTACTGGAGATGCAGGACGTCTCCAGAGGAGTCCAGCACTGGATCTTCCAGAAGGACTGTGCACAGATCGATGACCTGGGCTAGAGCTTTCCCAGGTAGAAAGCCTGGCTGTAGCACCTTTAGTTCTCCTGTATCATAGACTTGGACAGATGGCATGCCTCCTGCCCAGCACCGAAAGTAGGATGGACAAGCTTCCTACCTAACGACCTACCTAATGACCGGAGGTGGAAGAGCCTGGGCTGGTGGGCTTTGACTATAGCTCTTTTGGACAGCCATGGCTACGCACTTGGGCTCTCATGGCTTTACTTGTGGCCAGACCTCTTCTCTTGCTTTCCATTTTGCTGTGGCCGTAGAAGTCAGTGGTAGAGGTCATGCAGCATCCCTTTATATGAGGCAACATGTTGGAGTTATGACGTAGAGGTGAGTCTGGAGCCAGGCATGCTGAAAAGCCCTTGCTGGAGGTGCTAAAGGACTTTTAGGGTAGGTTTTGTGCCTTACTGGTGCTCCTAAGGTGGTCCAGAAGGACCTACAGGCTTGTGGTGTGGCTGGAGAGCTGGCACTCCTACGTCAGATGTCCTCCTTGAGGAGACCTCTAGACGCAGGGTGGCGTGGGCATGGCTGCTCTGAACACAGAGGGGGAGATTTGTGTCGGCGTCTTCTCCCTGGCAGCAAATGGTTCTGAGAGGCCCGAGGATGACACAGTGAGGTTACAGCTCGCTGGAACTACGCTGAAGGTAGGAGATGGTCACACATACTGACCCTTGCGCCGCGACCAAAACTGCTGAACAAACGGAAGGAAAATTCAGGCTAGGTGGAGGGATTTGAGTGGCCGAGCATGGGCACAGCCGCTACAGGAGGCTGCTGAGGGTGTCGTGTCCCCATCGCTGATGTCTGGAAGTAGGTGAGAAGATCCCCGCTCCGCAGCGCCAGTCCGAAACCCTCAGAGATCTCATTTGCTCACGGGTGTGCATCTCAAACCATTCAAGGAAATCTCCAGTGTGATGTGCTGCTGACTACGCCGCAGTTGTGAAGGGTCGTGGTTGGTGGTGGCCATCTGACGAGTAAGAGCCAGCGTGTCGCAACCTCAGCATTTTAGAACTCAGGGCACTGCCAGAATACAGGCAAAACCAAACTCTGTACGCTGACGTGGGAGATGGCGGGGGGGTCTCCGGGCTTCCAGCCTGGCGCTCTGCTCGCTAGAAGGAGCTCGGAGCGTAGCGGTGCTGGTAAGGAGCCGTGTTCAAAGACTAAAACGACCACTTTTTATTCCTCTAATGCATTTATGGGGTAAACGGGAGAGGGGCTTAAGTTAAATTCCAAATGGGACTTGACAAGACCCAGCCTGCGGATACCCGTCAGTCAGTCTGGGGTGCTCGTCGCTGTCAGCCCGTCAGCCGTGTCACCAGTGATGAATGCTAACGAACGAGTTACTGTCGAGTTGTCACGGCAAGCTTGAACCCTGGAAAAAAAATTAAGAATTAACTGGCTTCAAGCTGCTTTCAGAGGTGGTGAGAAATCTAATTCTTGCCTGATGATTGTTTGGGTTCGGAAGCAGAGATGGAGGACTTCCGCGCCAAAGCTGCCCAGCCCGGGTGCCTCGTGCTAACCGGTCCTGCTGCGGCCTGTTGATCGCTTTGTGGGTCTGGAGGCTGAAAGCCTCGGTCCCCACGCACGGGAGAGTTTGTCATGAGGGATGGCATGCTGGAGCGTGTCCAGAGAAGGGCAGCGGAGCTGGGGAGGGGTCTGGAGCCCCAGGCTGCTGGGGAGCGGCTGGGGGAGCTGGGGGGGTTCAGCCTGGAGCAGAGGAGGCTGAGGGGAGCCCTCATCGCTCCCTACAACTG